GTCCCTGGTCTTTTGAAGAGGAAGGACTCTGCAAAACGTGCATAGCTGGAGCAGTTTGTTCTGCTTCTTCTGTACATTCAGCAAATTTCCGTTTTCCATGGCTGCTGGTCAGGCCAGCTAGTCACGATTTCTTGTGGTCCATCATGCAGTGGGGGCCATAGCACAAACAGCAAACATGAAATCCTTTGCGACAGCGTCCATCTGTCACTTGCTCCTTGCAGCGTTTCAATGAATAATCAAAGCAAATTGGGTCACCGTCTGGTGTAGATGCCGTGCGCCCGGCTTCTCTGATCTGCTGTGGGATCCTCGGCTCAAACTTGCTCTTATTTTTCCCTTTGCCTTTTGTTCCATATGGTTTGGAGCGGAGACCTCCTTTTCTTTGGCCTTTTGCATTTGGGTACACAGGCGTCGTTGCAATCTTGCTTCCTTGCGATGGCTGCGCAGCTTTGGGCTGTGACTTTGAAATCATGGGGAGGAGTGTGAAGCTGACTTCATAGGACTTCAATGCATCTTCCAAACCAGTGTTTAAAGGCATCACACCAGCAGCATCAGGTCGTGGTTTCAGATTCTTCTCAATGAGGAAGCACCAAGCCGCTTTGTCAGCTGAAAGCAGTTGTGACACACTGACTCGATTGTATCCCACCGGTGGCTCTCTGTTGAGGTGGGAGAATAACATTTGGACATAGCGGTCATGTGCTGTATATGACATGACACCGGCAAACTCAAGTGCAAGGCCACGACGTTTGAAAGCCTCAAGGGCTTGATAGGATGATTGCACTGTCGATTCAAATTCGGCATCTTTGTCTTTCAAGACCACCTTGGACGCTTCCACCTCCAGTAACTTCGTCTGGCTCTTGTTTGCAAAGGAGAGCTCTGTCAACCTGCTGAAGCACTTTTCGAGGGGTATGAAGCGAAGGATATTCTGATCAAACAGCTGCGTTGCCAAGTCAAGCAACGAGTGGCTCGGTTCACTATGCCCCTCGATGAGCACACCAGTCAATCGGGCTTTGAGATTTGTAAGGCGTGCGTCCCTCTCTGCTTGGGTCACCTTACGCGCAGCTGTCGGCTCAGGATTGGTGATCTGCTCCTTCAGGATTGCTAACAGCTGGGTCTGGCTTTCGAAAAGCAAACGCTTCAACGCTGCGACTCCACCTATGGTGGCACCTGGATCCAGCTGTCTCACCCAAGCTTGAAAATCATCTATCGCAATTTGCTGCCCAGGCTGCCCGTAAGCATAAGCCAAAGCAGAGATTGTGCAAACTCCTGAGTTCTTCAGTGCAAGTCTGAGTGCGGTTGGAAGCCTGACTTGTTCCATTCGTAGTTCAAACTGTGCTTCGGAATCTACTATGGATGCCATTGCAAACAAAGGAGGGATGAATCGCCGGCTGGTAATTTCAGGACAGGAAATGAAAAATGAAAAATGAAACATCATAACATCCACGAGGCACAAGGTATTGGAGAAAAAACACATGGACAAATCGACCAAATAAATTTGTTCATTCACAGGACCATTCATGCAACCAGGTCATCACATCACCTGATCTTGAACCGCAAAAATGCAGTGAGGCGGTTTGCCAAACTCTGATTGCTCTTGGAGTTCACCCTCCACTGGCATGAACAAACTGTCGATATTCATGGAGACGGTTTGTCAACATGACACACTTTTTTTTTTCAAAACGCCATCGGTTCACAAGTTGGCAGCGGGTGTCTTACCGCCTATTGCATGATCTGCGCAGTGTGTTCCATGCAGTTGCTTCCGTACAGAGTGCATACGCATCAGTCAAAACCTTGCCACAAACAAGGAACCTCATGGTGTTGTGCCGTGTCCCATCAAACCGATGGATGAGGTGCGACTTTGAGTGCACATACCAGCTTTCCTCTTTCGGAATCCTGGCACGGAACCTCTTCACTCTTGCTGGTGGCTCAGCAACATCTGAGTGATCTGACGACAGAGCATCGCTTCCACTTGAGGACGGGTCTGAGTCCTCCCCACCAGCAGGCACAACGTCTGGGCCAGGGATGCCAGCACCACCGTCAAAGTTGTCAGCACCTTTGGAGCTGATGTTGTCAGGGCCACATTCACCACGAGCATGAGGGTCAGGGTCATTCGATTCAGCTTGGACATCAACATCTGCAACACTGGGCTCGTACTGTGAGCTGCAAACTGAAACAACTCCATCACAAACCGAAGGTTCAAGTTTGACATCACTGGGCGGCATTGCATTGAAATCATGCGGCCTGAAAAAACCAGACCTTTGATCATCTGGAAAAAATGACCCGTTGTAAATGGCATCAACCACACCTTGAAGTTCAGCCACTGGTGCACAAACAAGATCCCTGGAATAGATCGCAAAAGTCTCTGCTAGGCATGAGCTGTGTCTGCCAAGCATGGAACGTGTCTGGGGCGACAACCCATACCTTGCGCACCACGCCAGCAATGTTGCCTTGAGGCTGTGGCTGGACACCACCTCAACGTCAGATCCTTTGACAGGTTCTTCAAGATTCAAAGTCTTTCTCAAAAATGCGGACACTTCAGATGAGCGCAGGCCACGCTTCATGAAGTCACCAAAACCATTTGAAGGAGCATGAAAAAGAGGTCCATCAATAGGATTCTGAAAGACGTGTCCAGCCTCTTGCATTGCATCCAGAGCCTCCTGGGGCCATATTGAACCGTCGACCCCTCTGGCAGGGATGACGATCGGCAGCAGCTTCGTTTTGAGGGCAGCCATCCTGCCAGATTTGTGATTGCAGGTTGTAATTACCACAAAACCACCAGCATCACTGAAGTCAAGCTCAATCTTATGAATGGCTTGCAAATCACTGTTCCTGCATCGTCCATACAAGCAAAACAGAACATATCCAATGAGTGCACGGTCAGTGGCATGTCTGTGTCTGTCACTGACACGCCATGTGGAGACATTTCACCTGGTGCACGGTGAGCACAAGTGCCTGTTTTAGGAGTTGTTTTCCTGAGAGCATAATCTCGGCCAGTCCTACAAGGCGTCTACTGCAAGTGACACCTTCAAGACTCTCAAATCCCAAAATGAAAAATGCAAACCGGAATGCTGACATGCAAGAATCTGCTTTCGAGGCAGCCGCATCGGTGCTTCTCAAATGCTCTAAAAAACTCCAGACAACAGGTTCAACAAAAGGGTTGACTTCATCAATGCCAGCTTTTGCAACCCAACGCAAAAATGAAAGTAAGGCATTTGCACGTTTCACCACAGTGTTTGGTGACCTAACTCCGACCACTGAATCCACAATGTCAAAGGCACCAGCTTGCTGTTGTGCGTCAGTCCCAAGGTTGATGATGTGTCTACCAGTCTTACTTGCAAGAAGGCAATGACGAAGAACGATCAACAATTTCCCAATTGCGGCATCTCTGAGTTGGCGACGCATGTCATGGTAGTGGGCGTCATCCCCACTGGAAATGCACTTTGAAAAAACTGGGTCAGAGACATCCGTTGAAGCAACACTTGCAATCGCAGCTGCAACTTGCTGTGGGTCATCTCCAATTGACAGCTGGCACATGTTGCTGATTGGCATCTTGGGAACACTAAGCAAATCACGGAAAATACCAGTTTCCCATGGCAAAACAATACCAGTAACATCACAGTTTGTCAAAAGGTTTCTTGCAAAAAGTGAGTCATGAACATCTTGCGGAATAACAGGCTGAAGTGAAGGAACATCAAGAGCAGCACTGTCTGAAACCGTCGACTCACCGTGCGCAGCTCTCGCAGAGTCGTTGACCAGCTCATCATCACCTGAACAGTGCACGGAAAGGGGGCTCCAATCATCGGGAAAAAGGGATTCATTCGTAGACCCACCATAAAGGTTTGAAGTTTCCAATCGTAAATCATCATCTGCAATACTGGGTCCATGAGGTACATCACAGGGCTCCTGGGGCGCATTCTGTAGATAATCCACTGCAAAGTCCATCACCCCCTTGTTGTCCGAAAATAAGCCAGAAAAAGCAGAAGAACCAGCCGGATCCAAAACTCACCAGGCCACACAAGCAAAAATGAAAACGAGCAAGTCTGAAAGTCTGTGAGTGTCCCAGGCAAATCTGAGAACTGACTGCGATGCGCCCCCGCTGCGCGGGCCCTTTCATTTAGCTGAAGCTAGATGGCACAAAACCATCTTGAGTGGGAAAAACAACTTGAAACCAAAAAGTCAACACCAATCCAACATGAAAGAACATGCAAAAACATCGACAAGTGTAGCATTGTACAGATTGCATTTCTGAATTTATTTGGCATCGATGTTTACACGGTTTGAAACTGGTTAGTTTCAAGAGCCGGGCAGGTTGTTACTTATTTCAAACAACAAGTCAGAAGGGTTTGGTTTCAAGCAGGTTATATAATTTGCCTGAGTTTAATCGCTGCGCGGTTTGGCAGGACAGGTGTTTGCGAGGCTTAGAAAATTTTTGGGCATAAATTTTCTGCTTTCACTTTTTGGTTTAATGCACTATCAACTCGTTGACAGTTTGCGTCTTGACTGAGACTGGAGCCAAAGACCCACTTGAATGGATTTTCCACCGCAACCCCACAGGCTCGGATTCAATGGATCTCTGACAGCGCAATGTTGGATTACCACACGTTGTCCAAATTTCTCCAAAATGATCCAAAAAATTTCACTGACCATGTTGGGAATGAACCACCCATGGTCACGTGTGCGACCTTCCTGCCAAACTGGATCACCACGTTTGCAAAAGGCTTCAAACTTAAAAATTTTCTGGTTGAGATCTAACTGACTCAGCACTGTTGCAACCACCCGTGAATACGCTGGAACAACAAATGACCGGTTGGAAAAATCTCAAAACCACCCCGGTCAAAAAATTTGACTGATGACATTTATTCAGAAGAGATTTCACACCGACTCAGCATGCACCTACATTTTTGCGCCATCGTTCGGCCAAAATCTCGTATGCTTTTTCAAGCCATCCTATGCCTTCGGCAAACATGGCAAACGGCTGAATCATATCTAAGTTGTGCAGGCTCTGAAAAGTTCTTGTCCAACACTCGGCCACAACAAGTCCCATGGGGATACTTCGCATCAACAAGGTGAAGAGTCTTGGTCCTCTTGTTCTGCATGAAGTGGAAACCTAAAGGTGCAGATGGCGGATAAAACATCCTGACAGGTGCATTGTATTCAACGCTCTCAGCATCACTGTCGGAAGAAGAACTTGTAAAATGCTCTTCTTCCAATTCTATCTGTCCATCTTCAACTATCTGCAAGGCATTGTCCAGCGCCTCATCCACTTGGGCGTCCAATGCAGCACTCTCGACATCACTCTCAAGAAATGAGACTGCACCAACATCCAATGAAGGGTCTGGCGCATAGTTCTTGTTGAACCTCCCAGCCCTCGTTGAGTCAGGATCAAAATATCCTGCCCTAATTTCCAGCAAAAGTTTATCAATCAAACGGATTGTCCTTGCTTGTGCGTCCCTGGCATAGGTGTCAGCCATCCTAAAAGGATGTGCATGGTGCCCCATGGCCAACCTGTCCTCGTGTTTCAAACCCCGCTTTGCCGCCATCGAAAGAATGGTTGCTTTGAGGGAATGTGATGAGATCTGCCGTGTGCTTTCACTACGTTTAACGTTTTCACCCAGCATCAATCTTAGCCAAACACTTGCCTCATCGCTCTCCAAGGCCCGTTGAAGAGTTGTACCGTCTTCAGCTGGCGCTGGCATCAAAGTCTTGCCGGGCTCATTCGAAAAAGGATCAACACCAATGTTCTTGAGTGCATCTATCCAACTCCTCACCCAATCATCTCCAAAAATTCCACTGCCAGACGCAACCAAATCCAAAAACTTGAACTTGTTTGCAGTTGCTTGCATGGTCTTATGGATTTGCACCTCCATGTCCACGTAGGCCACTTTGCCGGAAGATTCCAGCACATCAACTCTGATGCAATTACCGTGAATGAAATCACTCCATCTTGCACGTGCGTAAATGCAGAAAAGAGCAGCTCCACTGAACACTTTGTCCCAAGCATCCCCATTATCCAAACATGTATGCAAATGCCAAATGTCTGCAACTGTTAAGGGTGAAGCTTGGTTCAACTTGTTTGCAAAATCACCCCCAGTGGCTCCCAAACAACGCTTGCTGACCGTGATCGGGTGGAGGTCGTCGATGTCAAAGGAGTACCTGCAAAAGGTAACAGCTTCAAGAATGGACTTCAATCGGCTAGTACGGTTGCCAGATGAATGCAAGGTCTTAATGATCCTGTACATGTCTGGTTCTCCAAGAGGCCAAAAGAATCCCAACTGTTGTAGGGTGGTATGCAAAAACACCATACTGTTTGCACGTTTCAAAAGGGTTGCCGGCGCTTTCCCTCTCAGGTAGTCTCAAAGCAAGTTCATTGAATCATTCACTGTTGAACATGCCAAAAGCTCTTGTTTGCATTTCCACTCATCTGGCCAATTTCTGACAATAGTGTCCCATTTCATGAGAGCTCTTTGCAACTCAGCTTCTCGCTTCTCTGTCCAAACCTGGTCTTTCCTTCTGGAAACTGCCACCATGAACAAAGGCTTTGTGAAATCAAAACTGGAAACATCTGGCTGTGAAACTAAATTGTCAGAAGGCTTATCGTGAATCAGCTTTGGCACTTTGAGCTTGGGCTCAAACTGAGGTACAAGCGCATCCAGGGAATCATGATTAGGGTCGAAAATGCAGGCCCACTCATCTGACTCCCATGGCAGTTGTACTGGGGATTCAGCAACGTTACGCATGGCATGTGTAAGCAAAGACTCAAAATTAAAAGTACTCGGCTGTCCAGCTTCATGTGAGGGTGCAACAACGCGACTTCAGGTCCAGACTGTTGAGGCCCAGGCAGCAGTGCTGTATCTAGATACAAGCCAGTCTCTTCTTCAGCTACTGTCTGCAATGCATCATCTGAACCAAATATGTTGTTATGATCAGAGTCACCCAAATAGAATGGTTCCATCTCTGCACCACGACAACATTACACCACCCCCCAGCTAGAACGCTTGAACCGCAGGACTGACATATACAAAGATTCGATATTAAACCTACCCAGAGGAGTGCAGAACGGAGTTTCAGATTTCTCAGTGATTTTGTCTCAACAAGTTTAAACAAAACCTTGACAACCTGAGAAAAGGATTAACGAAAACCACCAACTCTGGAAAAACAGCAGTTGTGGAAATTCAAGTTTCGATTTGAAACAGTTGAGTTTTGGTTCACACTTGTTGGATTTCTTTTGCCTCACAAAAACAGGCAAAAGATTTTGTTCCAGGGAATAATGTTATCATCCTTGCAGGAGCGCTACTGGGGAGGCCCATTTTTGCGCGCCTGCTTTTTCTTACGTTTTGAGGTCCAAAAACGGGTCCCTTCTTTGTCATATTGTTTTGCTCCAATTTCCATAGCCTTGAGGCTTCGAGGCTTGCCTTGAGGCCGTCCCTTTGCGCCAGCTGCGGCTTAAAATTCTAGCGAGGCAGCACAGGCACCAACTACTTCAAGTTCAGCCTTCCTGGGACTTCAACAATAGTATTATATAGTTTCGAGTCCCCATGAGCCTCGCTTTGTCCTTGTGCCAATACGTTTTGCGTTCGAGGCGTGGCCTCGCCCAGGCCTCGCCTGGCCTCGCCCAGGCCTCGCCGAGCCTCAAAGCGCCTCGATTGCAGGCTTTTGAAGCACGCGACCTCTTGCATCAACATAATAGAAAGGGACAGGTTGTCATGATCAAGACAAGAAGGTCCAAGAGGCTAGTTTTTGGGTTCGTTTTTTGCACCTTAAATTGATATGAATTTTGGAGACGGAGTGGGTGGCCTCCCTTGTTCGAGGCCCTTATTGCCAACTCGATGTTGGCTTGTGTGATGTTGATGTGTTTCTACATTGGAACAGCGCAGCGGAAGAAGGTGCAGGGGTGGGCTTAAAACTGGACCTTCAAGGAGGCACCGGATTCAACCTGCTGAGGGTCCATTTTTGGGCCCCCGTGCAAAGGAAACGTGTTTAAAAAAGGGGTCAGAAAGTGGACCCGCTTGAAATCAAAAGTGGTCCCCCCTGGAGGGTCCAGTTTTGGTCCCTTTTTGGCCCCTTCATTGTGGCAAATCTGTTGAAGCGTTTATTTCAAGTTGAAACTGATTTGACCAGCAACAGCTGCGGCTGGAATCTTGAACTGGGGAGGCCCATTTTTGCGCGCCTGCTTTTTCTTACGTTTTGAGGTCCAAAAACGGGTCCCTTCTTTGTCATATTGTTTTGCTCCAATTTCCATAGCCTTGAGGCTTCGAGGCTTGCCTTGAGGCCGTCCCTTTGCGCCAGCTGCGGCTTAAAATTCTAGCGAGGCAGCACAGGCACCAACTACTTCAAGTTCAGCCTTCCTGGGACTTCAACAATAGTATTATACAGTTTCGAGTCCCCATGAGCCTCGCTTTGTCCTTGTGCCAATACGTTTTGCGTTCGAGGCGTGGCCTCGCCCAGGCCTCGCCTGGCCTCGCCCAGCCCTCGCCGAGCCTCAAAGCGCCTCGATTGCAGGCTTTTGAAGCACGCGACCTCTTGCATCAACATAATAGAAAGGGACAGGTTGTCATGATCAAGACAAGAAGGTCCAAAAGGCTAGTTTTTGGTTCGTTTTTTGCACCTTAAATTGGTTTGAATTTTGGAGACGGAGTGGGGGCCTCCCTTGTAACATCTTGAGGATTGGTATGGCAGATAAACCAGGAAACGAAAACGAGGAACAAAATTGGGACAATCTAGAAGCTAGCAATGGCCCTTTTTTTTCCGTCCAACGCCTTCATGGCTTCCGTCAGGTCGTTACACACGTTCAATCGCAGTAAAAAGATGAATTGTAATTATCACGGCTGTCAACTTGTCGATAGCCACAAAAAGTGCTGGCAGTGGACCTGTACGCAGTCCAGTGTAGCAGTCCCAGCAAGAAAACCAAAACACAAACCCAAAACAAACGTGCATAATGCCATCTTGTGTGTCATGATGAGAATGGCCACCGAGAAACAAGCAAACCAAAGAAAACACAGAACAACACAAAGGGGCCAGATAAGAGGGTGATAGAAGCAACAAAGCTCAATGCGGAAACCAGGGATCCCCCCAGCCAGGATCCCCGAGATCACAGAGAGCAGCCGTTCAGGCATAACGTTCACCCAAACACTTCGAAGCAAACGCTGGGTCGCAGCGAGAGTGGTGGAAAAACAGGGTGAGACGAAAGGGAACCATACAGCTATTTCTGCTTTGCTAAAATTTCTGAGAGCTTGCGTGACAGTCAAGGTGGTAATGGCGATAAGACAATCTGGGCGATCGTGTACTGTAGTCCATGCGCTGCCGCAATTAATTAGTTTGCATGTTTTTGAGGATGATACAGTGGCTTAGGTCACTGTATCCAAGGCAAATCTAATGTTGTGTTCTGTTTGGTTTTTGTTGGGCCCGGCCCCGTTTTTTGTTGCTTCGCCAGGAGCCCCAAGATTACACAGAGCAAGCCGCGTGGGGATAACATCTCACAAATCTATAAATCGAAACTAGCAATGACACCGTCACGAGGCCAAGGGATGTGAAAGGAAGTGTGAAACAGGCCTACGGTGTGAAAAATGGACACGCCTCTACCTCTCAGATTCCTTTTTTATTGACTGGCGCCCTGTGCTGTGAAAATATGACATCTGTGAGAAGATGTCTGACATCTGTGGTGAGATGATTCCATTGGTCTTTTCTGCATTGGAAGAAGTGAATTTGGTTTTCATCTTGATGATGAGCTCAACCGTGATGGTTGACATCGTATTTGTACGTTTCATGTTTTGCACGTTTTATTGGAGATGACGAAACCCAACAACGATATACTTTTCGTCTTCTTTGACTACTTTGATTGCACGGAGAACATCGTTTGCATTGGAGATGACGAAATGATGGAACATTATCCTCAATGACGACATGAAGAGCCCGCCGGACTGGGCATATCCAGGGTCCAGTTCCGCCAAGTTGTCACATGATTTCTGTCATATAGATGTTGAGTCCAGTGATGACGTCTTACCAACTTTTGGTTTGTGGAAATGGGAGGCCGACAGATTTGGCCCTTCTATGCCACAGAGTCCTTTCAGGAAGATTTATGGATTTGGGTTAGCCCCAGAAGATTTGCTGTCATCACGAACCACCAACACAATGAGAAATTGAATCATTTCTATGTTGACAGGATGCATGAGCATAACATCCTGGCAAATCGCACTCCGTGCTGGCCCTTCACTGAACTGACCAATAGCTCAGGCAAGGTAACGGACAAAACCATCGCCCTGAACAAAGAATCCCGTTGTAGTTCAGCAGTTCACGAAACTTTCAAGACTGGCTTTGAACACAAGAGTGCCATGAAGTCAATGCCACGAAGAGAAGAGAACCTGCATGGCAAGAGAAAGTACTCTGACCCCTCGGGACAAACAAGTACTCAACAGTTTGACCCGTCTGGGAATTACAGTGCACGTGATCTGCAGAAACTCAATGCGACCTTTGCTGATCAGTCTGAGACTAAGCCAGCTGCAATGCCAAGCCCTACAACTAGCAAAGTCACAATGTGGCGGCATGGTGAGGTACCGCCACTAGGACCTGCATCAGAGGGCCGTGCCCGGGCTGCTAAACAGCTGGCTTATGCACGCACTTTATTAACTTTTGTCATGGAGGCAGCCACCCAAATGGAAGAAGTCGTGGGCAATTTAGTGCAGATCGAGCACGAACAAGCGACGGCTAAAGAGGAAGATTGGTGCAAGCTGCGTCAGCTGCTCCGACTGAATCTTGCACAGAGCCACAGAGGGAAGTCAAAACTGAGCAATGTTAGTTTATGCCATCTGCATGCTGTACACAGTCCGGAGGAACCACAGCGAAGACTGTGGTCCTTTCCTCAATCCGAGGATGCAGGACGTGAAAATGTGGTAATTGCACTAGATGATATGCTTACTGACAGATCAAGGAAAGTTGACTGGAGGTGTCTTTGGTGAGCATGAGACCTTTTGCCACGCTGCTCGATAGAGGGCCTGCAACATTATTAGCTCAAATCAAAGCACTGGATTTCTGATCATCACCAACGTTTCCTGAAACAAAACAAGTCTCATACTAACTAGATTGTCGTACCTTTTAGACCTATGTCATCACAGACGGGCTGTACCGTAGGCGCCTGTAGCATTTGACTGGCTGTTATGTATACAATGTGTTGTCTTGCACTCCATGAGACCGTGTAGCAACTTTCCCTTTTTTGATCTGCAAAGCAATTCTGGCTCAAATTTAGATGGTCTGACTTGCTGCTGACTTTTTCTACTCACAGGCACACCCCTCAGTATCCTTCCTAGCCCTTACATAGCTGAGTATTGTGGTTGCAGTCATAAGTGCGTGGCCTCTCTGACTAAAGACTGTCAGGGTTGCCTCCGCTTTTTTGTTTACGGGGTAAATATGCGACTCCGTGTGCGCCATGGAATCCTTGGCGAAATAGCCCTGACGATGGACGTCTTGGAACGGACAACTCTCGGATGGGATATTATGAAACAGACGGCGATGGTGCTCAGGTTGGACTCACCCTTTCAAGTGGTCCTCTACTCAGACAGCTCGTCAGTAATCCACTCGCCTTTGAGGGCTCTTCAATTCGATACTGATACAAATGAGGCAACTTTCTGCTATATAGTGCAGTCATTGCAAGCCCCGTCAGCACAGCAATATCGAGACCTTCTAACTGCCATCTATCACAAAGATGTGATTGATGTAAGTTATCTTCTTGGTAGGGGCGTAGGCC